ACTTTAAATGTGACGACACTTTTTTAAAAAGTTTTAACTTGTTTGTTTTATACCTAAATACACATTTGTGAAGTGTTTTAACTTCTGTGTTTTTTTAAACGATGGTATACAGCCAATTACGGGGTTTTTCCCATTAATTTTGTAATAAGTTTAAGTACATATAATATGGAATTTTTAAATACAGTTTCTTCAATTTTTAGGTTATCATGCTGCCTCGTTTGGAAACGTTCAAGGAAATTATTTTTACGCCACGTATCGTAGCATATAATGAGAGTTTTGTCTCGCTTGGAAGGAAGTCCAATACCTACCCTTTGGCCGTATTGTGGCATGAGGGAATTGCTGGCAGATCCAAAGATGACATTATTTCTGCGTTCTACGCTTTTTTTCTGGCAAATAGGGACAATACACATATAACAGTTTGGCTTGATAATTGCTCGAGCCAAAATAAAAATTGGTCCCTTTTTAGTTTCTTTATTTATTTGGTTAACAGTTCAGAAGTTGCTGTAGAAGACATAATAATCAAATTTTTTGAGCCAGGTCATACTTTTATGGCCGCAGATTCATTTCACCACCAAGTTGAGCTTGCTCTTAAAAGAAAAAAAAAAAGTATACGATTTTGACGATTTTTGCGAAACGGTAAAACAAGCCAATTCGTCAAAAGTAAATTTAATAAAAATGCAACTTCCACAATTTTTTAACTTCACTGACTATACCTCCAAATATAAGTTACAAAAGCTGATTTCTCGCGTTTACTTAAAAGATATGGTTTGTCTTCATTTTAAAAGAGGAAATTATTTCCTTTCTTACAAAACAGAATTTGAAAACGATTTTATTGATTTAAAAGATATTTTTATAATGAAGTACGTTAAGGGCACGCTAACAGGGCCCCAAATTCGTAATACATGTCGCGGTGTAACTTTAGATAGAAAAAATAATCTTATATCCAAATTAAAAGCACACATTCCTCAAAATCGTATGAAATTTTGGGAAGATTTGCCTGTTAACGAACGTGCTTTTGAGGAAGAAAATGATTAATATTAATAATATTTTAATGTTTTTATCGATATATTATATCATTTATGTTACATATATTACAATGTAAATTGTGTATTAAGTTAAAACTTATTAATAAAATTAAAAGTGTTCAGTTAATTAATATTTTAGTCTCATTTAGGACAACTTCAGTAAGTAACACAAAAAAATCGTATTTCATATACTAAGCTATATTGTCCTAAGTGACAATATAATCAAAAATCAACTAATCGGGAAAGAATAAATCAAAATTATGACTAGAAATTAAATTCTATTCTTCGACATAATATATAAAATAAAACATAAAGAGTTTGTTAAATTACCAAGCGTTATACAATGAAAAGAAACAAAAACTGGATTTTCTCAAAACCTAAATTTTGCAGATAGGACCTTTCAAGTTAGGACGGCAGATCTGCTGTAGGTGGTTGGCCAACAAAAGGTTGTCAAATAATTATATTATAAAAATCCAATACTTCAGCGGGCTGCTGGATTCTGAACTAATTCAAGAACTCATTCATAGGTGGTCAAACCACCTATCGCTTCCTAAAGCCGGCCACTCACGGTACAGCGGTGTCGTTCGACATAATCGGGCAGAGGCGTTGTTCAATTTGTTGGTATATCTGGTGCGCTCACACACCATACTGCGCCGCAGTATTTGTTCGGTTCTCGACCATGTCAAATCAAACAATCATTTTAGCGTCTCTTACTTTGTGTATAAATTCTTTGTGTATAGATTCTGGTGCAAAGAATCCAAGATTTTGGTGCAAAATAAATCTCGTCTCACCCTGCACCCGATTTACTGGACTGCACTGCTAATTTTAATTCTCTTTTACAGTATGTTCTAAAATTGTTAATTTTTTTTTCTTACATACTCTTCATTCGCATCTTTGTTTACTTCTTGGAACTTTAAAACTAGAATGTCCATTGCCTGTTTTTTTTTTCGGGCGTTTCTATCGTGATACGTTTTACCTTTTATTCGCTATAGCATTCTTGTTTTTTATATAATTTAAAAAACTCTTAAAAAATTCTTGCTAAATCAAGCCATTTCGATTTTCTATAATATGATCAAAGCAAGTGTTAGTTAAAAACGAAGTTGAACAACGCCGCTGTATCGTGAGTGGCCGCCTTTAGGCAAGCCCCTCTTTCGTTTATCGAAGATGGAGATTTTGAGCGGTGTTGCCAATATCATTCCACTAGATGTTTCTAAAATAACTACAAACTTCTGAAATAACTACAAACCATTAAGTTTATTTTTGTTATTAGTCTGTTGTAGTAGATTTTTAAATACAATTAAAAATATAGGCAAATATCCGATTTATTTAAAGATACGAAGAAGATATAACTCTTAAAAAGATCCGCAAATCGGATTATTACACGGCGATTGGCAACATTGACTTTGAGCTGCGCTCTAGACTATGGTGCGTTCTAAAAAGAGACGGATAGTTGAACGATATTTTATACAATGTCTAACACCGGGTATGGATTTATTTTTGTCCAAGTTTTATATTGGTCCACTATTTCAAACGCAGTTCAAACAGATATATATTAAATTGTATGATCCGTTTTAAATTCGTTCAATCTGTGTCAATTATTTTAATTGGGACCGAAAGATAAGTAAAAATAGCAATTTAAACAAAAAAATTTTATTAAAATCTTAGGATATACAAATATAAAATTGGCAATTCAATTTATTTTGATGTATAAGGCTTTATAAAATCTAACAAAGTAGTTTGACGACTAAAAATTTTTTTTCTCCCGCAAAATTTCTTCATAGCAGGCTAATCATTTTTTTATTCCTTGTTTGGTAAAAGAAATGCGCTCTTCGTTGTGGTCTATATTTTCTAAAAAGTTTAATCCCTTTTCAATTACATTGAGGCCTTCAGTCAAGTTTCCAATCGTCATTTGATCCTCAGATTGAACTGGATAGAAACACTCAAGCTCTTCCATGTCTTGTTCTTCCTCGTGCATTTCTATGAGGTCATCTATTGTCAACTCCTGATTGTGTGAATTCAACAGTTCTTCAACGTCATATTATCAACAACTTCTTTAATAACGTTATTAACTTTTTTTCCTGAGTTTTTTTCCAGACGCCATTCAACGTTTTTTGTCAAACTTAATTCCAAGATTGTCCAACGATTGTCACTGCATCTAACATGTTGAATTGTTTCTAAAAGTCTTTAACAGATAGCTTGTCGTTCTTATAACTTTATGGAGATATGCAAATGATCGTCTGGTGTAATAAGCCTTGAATGTTTTAATGACTCAATGATCCATTGGCTGAAGTAACTGGTTGTATTATGTGACAAAAATTCAACTTTCACACGTGTATCAAAACTAGTTAAAGTTGCAGCAGGATGACTTGGAGCGTTGTCGATAATGAGCATCACTTTAAATGGAATTTGTTTAGATTGACAATAACGTTCGACTTCAGGTATGAAACGATGACCAAACCAATCCTCAAAAAGTGAAGTTGTCACCCAAGCTTTACGATTAGACATCCAAATTACAGGCAAGCCAGATTTAGATTTAGTTTTTAGCGCTCTTAGATTTTCTGAGAGATAAACTAAGAGTAGTTTTAACATGCAATCACCAGCTGCATTTGACTCCACCATCACTGTCAATCGATCTTTGGCAGCCTTAAAACCTGGAAAGGTTTAATCTTCATGTGCGATGAAAGTTCTTCGGCATCTTCTTCCAAAACAGACGAGTCTCATCTACATTGAGGTCACCAAACAAACCATATTGGTTTGTTTGGTGTAGCCACATTCATCTATTATGGCTTTTAATTTCTGCGGATAACAAGACGCAGCCTCTTTATCAGTACCGGCCGCTTCTCCGTTTTCTGCAATGTATGCCAACTACAGCGACTTTTGAATCCGCTGAACCAACCGTTAAACTGTTCATCCTTAGCGATTTCTCCAGCATCCTCTTTCGATCTCTCAAAGATTAGGTTAGCTTGGGAGCACACTGTATTGTGATCAATAGGTCAATTTTTCACATTTACCTCATTACCACACCATCATTTAAACGTTATCTCCATTTCGGCGATGATACCATGACGTTTACGTACGATGGAGAAATTTAAAGATTTTGCACTTTTCACAGCTTCGAGAATTTTTTCCTTGCTCTTTATAATTATTGTTTTGACCGTTATTCCGATAGATCACACTTCTTTGATAGTTCACAGAATTTCATTTTTGATTCAAAATCTGTAATTACGTTAAATTTACATTCCAAAGATAACGTTTTTCTTTTCTTATTTGCTGTAGAAGCATCAGTTTTAATTCGTTCGGATGACATCATTGCTCTTTCAAGTCTTCAAGTTTCAAGTCAATCCCACTATAAAAGTAACAAACATCCGCTCCGTAGACAAAACTGTAGATAAGAAATACCTAATACAAAATAAATGTGCTGATTTCGTGCGAAAAGACAAAAACTGTAGTTTGGATGAGCAAAAATGTGTGGGCGGTAATTCTATCTAATCAATAATTGAACTATCGTATGGCACTCAGATGACGAATTTGAAAGAGATACAAAATACAAGATTTGAAAATCGTGTAACTATGATTTCGCGTAAAGGTTGATTCAGACACATCAGTCATGTCTCGTCACAGTCTTGGCGCCGAACCGAACAATCCGTCATACAATATATTCTTTAATAGAAATATGGCGCCGGCATTCACATTCATCAGTTGAAGAACAGTTTCCCATCTGTCATATAGTTGATAGTTCTGTGACCAAACAGGACCGGTTCGGCGCCGAGACTGACGGGACTGATGTGTCTAAATCGACCTTTTGTCGGGGTAGCGTAAGTCGAGGTATTACTGTATACAACTTTAAGTTGGCAACACTTTTTTTGATAACAGCCTTTTTCGACAGCTGCCAAGTGATTTATGTTTAGTTTGGCTTGCCATCTCAACACGAATAGATTGTTCAATATTTTTAATAAATTAATTGTTCAATATTACCTTTGGCCGTGTATCCACAACATACATGTAGGTAGCATTAGGATTCGTCTTCAGAATGTGATTCATCATCTTTTCGTCCTCCAAACACCTTGCGCTGAATCCCGATAACGGCTGACTACACCTACTGATACTCGCTTTGTTTTTATACAAGAACGAAAGAACTGGCAACCTTCCTTTTGAGCGAAACCTCGAGCTACCCGTCAGTATGTTACTGGTTGCTTTGCTCGGCACGTATAAATGTTGAGGGTAAGTATCACATAACTGAAAATAAAAGATTTTCCATCAAATGTATCAATTACAGTATTATACATCTCTAAGCTCTAAGCTATAAAATAATATAAAACTCGATTAAGAGAAAGGTGGTTTTAGGATTTAGAAAAAATACACTAAAGAAATATTGGTACTTAAATATACTATTAAATTGTGTTATTGGCAGCGAATTGCTTTTAAATTGTTGTGCTGTTTTATGGTTTTTAATATGAATCATAAACGTTGTTTATACAGTGCTAGTCAAAAGTCCGTTCCCCCTCTCGTATCTTTTGAACTGTCATAACAAGTGACGTAATAGTGACAGATGACGTTACAGCGCCACTGTAACGGATAATTTTAAATAGGACCTTATAGCAAGTGATTTATTGAAAATACCTATTCAAACATACTGTTTTTATTTAAGTTTAAGTTCATTTTAATGAATAAATTAACTAAACACTAAAATTGTAGTTTCGCATTTAATTAATAAATATTAAAACCTCCGCCTCTAGTTACTGGTCAAAAAGTTCTTCGTCTGCTTGATGTTCCTATCCGTTACGAATATTTGCGATTATCATGGAAATCTTTATCTTATCTGCAGCAGCGCTGAAAACCTTCACAGATGTTGTATTGGACCAGATTCTGAGGTTCTTTAATCAAGATGTTCTTCTTCTTCCTAGACCTCGTTTTCCAAATATTTTCCCTTGCAGGATTGCTTGAAGGAGAGCATATCTGCATTCATTTCGCATAATATGTCCGAAGAACTGTAACTTTCGAGATTTGATGGTAGTCAGTACCTCTCGGTTCTTATTCATTCTTCCGAGGACCTCCTCATTTGTGACTCGGTCAGTCCACGGGATCTTAAGTATTCTCCGATATAGCCACATCTCAAATGCTTCCATTGTAGCATTTTAAATTTGATTGATTCTTTGAAGTATATTTAAAGTCGCCTCGTATATGAAATCGTCTTAATAAAACGAAGAATGTTTTCTGTTTTTTAGTTCGTATCTTTCGAAAAGTGTTTTCAATCATTCTAACGTCGTAGAGTAATAAATCCATTTAATTGTTGTTTATTTTACTGCGGCGATTTCTTTTCATGTAAATGCGTTTCAAAGGATATCTACGTCGTTCGTTGGTTTTGCTATTTCAGCAGTTCGTTGATTTTCAAGTTAAGCGAACAAATTTTTAATTTCGTCACTCTCGGTGAAACCGCTGTCACGAGCGTTTGTAGTTTTATTGGAGTCCGAATTTTTCTTCAAATTCGTAATGTTTTTTCGTTTTTTTTTTTGTCATTTGTCATGGGAAAATGTGTAGTGTGGTAGCAGTTAAGAGCTCGGCTTGTAATCTTCAGAAAGCCGACAGATCCTGTTCCTAGAAAGTTATATGTGTTGTATTATGTCCTAAATGGAAGATTTGTAAGGTGTTACAACGATATAAGAGGCCATCGTATTTTCAATGAAGTTTTGAAAATCCAAGCTTAGAAGTTTGCAATTTTTTTTTTGACCCGAAGCCCGATGATCCAGCCGAACTTCAACTTCCTTCGTCTATTTGTTTGTCCCTGGTCATTCCAGACCATTCTGAAGCTTGGAGACGCATTTGTGTTATTTTGCAGCGTTTAGAAAACCAGTTCCAGCCCCAAAACTAATATTTAGTGAAGTCAGGTACTTTTTTTGTTAATTTTTTTTTAAAGTGAAAAATAGACATTTATCATTAATAATTGCTTTCATGACAAGTTGAAAAATTTGTAATAAGTAAAATTATAATAATTAGGATTTGGCTGTCATAATAATTATTCTTATACACATAACTAACCATAAGTTTTGAATTTGTTTTGTTTTTTTTTAAGTTGACCTTAATGTAAACTGCATTGAAAGATCTATATGATTTCAATTTTGTTTCTTGTAATTATCATTTGTTTTGTAACTGTTTGTGGTGACACATAAATAAAGGTTAAATTTTGTTTTCTTAACTTTTTATTTGATTTTTTTGAGCTAACCCTTTTTGAGTTTATTTGTAAAAGATATGTTTTTTATGTTTTGATTTTGTTTTCTAATTATTTCCCTAGTTACAACTAGTGGTTGTAATAGGCATAATTAGGCACCTCAAGTGGCGCCCTATATTAAATTCCTTGAGGTGTTTCTTGTTTATTTTTATTTTGTTTATCCCAAGAGCCCTTTATTTCATTTTTTTTTGTAGTTCCCCCATTCCAATGCCCTTATCTTTTACTTATCCACGACCCCAGCTCTCCTACGAAACCCTGAGTGCCGTTCGCACAAGTAGCGATTATTTTGCTTGCCTTATCTCAACCCCTTTAGTTTCTTCCGCCAATTTTCTACCCCCTTGTATTAATGGCCCCTGTGGTAGGCAAAATATTTTCGTTACAAAAATGGTGCCCAACCGAGGGGCTGTTGAATATTCCTAATTTTTTTTAGAATTTGTCCCTTTTTCCAAGCCACATATCTTTTTCAATTGTTCTGCCATAATTTTCTGCCATTTTTATGAAACCCTGCCTTCCGAGTAGTGCCCCGGTGTCCCACAAACAGTTTGTTTTTGTATTTGTATTGATATATGTATTTGTATCAACATATGTATTGTTGTTTTTTCTTTGTATGGTATTTGTATTAACATATGTATTATTGTATATCAACAGATGTATTTGTTGTATATTGACATATGTAATGTTGTTCTTTTATTTCGTGTACTGTAGAAATTTTTCTATACGTATTTTACGTGTTTTGGTAAATGAAAGCAAATATTTTGAGTTTGAATATTTAAATCGAATTTTAAATAATGTTTTGATGTTGAAAAGAATTGTAAGTTATTTACAGTAACAAATTAAGTGTACCGTTATTGTGCCATTTATTTTTGATTGATTTGACATTTCTTACAGAAAAATCGGTTTTTGTAATTTTGTTTTGTCTGGTCATTTTGAGTAAATGTGTTTATTGTTTGAGTGACTTTTCTTTGAGCTGATGAGTATAGTTGTGTTCTGTCCCTTGTCCTTAGCCATTTCATTGTTTCCTCTAGGCCCTCTTTGACGGCGTTTGTGTTATGCCACGGGCTAGTAGGAGATTGTGAATGTGAATAGTAGTCCCCTGTGTTCCCCTGTTGTTCCCTAATTAACCAGCTTTGACGGCGTATGTAATGCCACGGGTTAATAGAAGATTGTGTTCCCCTGAGTCCCCTTTTGTGTTTCCTGTCTTGTATCTGAATGATGACAAGTGTTATACTCGTGATCGGAGGTGCTGTTTAGTTTTGCCTAGGAGCAGTCTCATTTAGTTTTCAGAACAAGAGCAAGGTTTTTTATTTTATGTTATTTTGTGTTGCTCACTCAAAAGTCAAGTTTTCAATATTATTAGTATTTTTGTATCACCCTGTATGTGAAGTTTATCGAGTATGTTGTTTTGTGTACATTTTGTATTTGCTTTCATCCAAACATTGTTTTAGTATTTTTGTCCCGCCCTGTATGTGAAGTTCGTTGAGTTTGCTTCGAACCGTTTTTTTTTCTGCTATTTTGTGGATTTGTTTTATCTAGTTTTTTTTGTTAAATCAAGTCTATTTCTATCCCAAGTTAACTGCTACGATTTCCATTTTCTTCTATGTCCAGTTTTCGTAAAATTATGTAGAAATAATTTTCGTCTGTTTCCTTGTGAATTAAAAAATACGTATTTGGAATGATGTCATTCCTTATTTTCCGGTATTTAAAATGTGAACGACATCAAGTTTGTTTATTCTTGTTCGTCTTAAGTACCATCCCAAGTCTGAGAAAAGAATTTTGTTTACGTTAACGAAATAATTTATTTCGTATGTAGACGCTGTCCTTTCTTTAAGTGTTTATAAGTTATCTATTTCGTCTTCTTATTGAGTCTTTGAGCAAATGTAGGTCAAATTTTTGCTTGATAGATATGAAGATTTTATAGTCCAGAAAATGTGCGAATTTTTTTTAAGCCCCGAAAAGGAAAATATTTTCTGTTGCAGTCCACGTATGTTTTTTTTCCTTGTTGTCTTTTGTTTTATAAGTAGGAGGAAGTAATAATGCGATTTCGTTTGTCCATGGCTAAGGCCGATTTGTTAGTGACAAAGCGAAGTATTGTTATTTGCCTTATGTTTGTTATTTCCGTGTTTCCTCGCGTTTTCTTTGTTCCCATTCTGTGTTATAAGTAGGAGGAAATGATGATACAATTCCGTTTGTCCTTGGCTAAGGCCGATTTGTTAGTGACAAAGCGGAGTATTGTTATTTTTCTTTTGTCTGTTAGTCTTGTGTTTCTCCCTAGTTCTTTTTTGTATACAAGTAAGAGAGAGTAATCATACGACTTCGTGTATTCCTGGCTAAGGCCGATTTGTTGAGAATACAGCGAAAGTTCTGAAGCTATTTTCTTGTGGCATTGTAAATTAATTACTATTTATAACTGGGAATAAGCCACATTAAAGATAAAAATACATTTATTGACGTTTCAATTTCCAATTCGGAAATCGTTCTCAAAATACAAATAGTAAATTAAACAAATTTTGTTTTTTGTTACATAGTGAAAAAATTCTTCTGATAATTTAATTTTATCTGACTCATTTATATTGACAATTCAGACATACATTATGCATTTTAAAGTAGACGACTTTAAAATGATATTGCCAATATTGTTGAGTTGCGCTCCTGGGACGACTTTACTTATAAGATAGTTCATTCGATTACATGAAATCAACTTAAACTTGAGAATATCCGTCAGAAAAAATCATAGCATGTAATTCGTCTTTAAAAAGACAAACACATGACATGATGACAGTAAAATTCTCCTGTTAGTGATTCCATAGTAAATTATGAGGGAAAAACCAGGAAAAAAACCTCATAATACTATCCCGACATTGTAAGTATTTGTTCGTGAATTTAGTTTACCTTCAACAAACATCAAAATTCTGATTTTATGTTACGTTATTTAAAAAACATAAATGATGTATCCTCTATATGTTACTGACTTACTAATACTGGTATTTTCTTATTAATAACTTCCTCTTTC